TTCCTATGTTCATGAATGTTACATATTATTTAGAATATGTTGTTTTCTACAGGAAAAAAATATTTGTGTTTGAGTATTTCATGATTTTATATTTATTATGAATATTTCTTATATCGAAGTCCGATGTAAATATTGGGCTCCATTTGGGTATTTGTGTTAGAAAAAGGGTAATTATTATGACCGTTGAAGTTAGCAAATGATGTTTTGTTTGCTGGATGGAATACATGCGCATGAGTCTCAACAAATTTAAATATTTTTGACCTTTTTGACCTAGGTCAAATGTCAAGTGCCCAAACATTGCAATTCAGGGGCCTAAAAGGGTATTTTTTTAACTCATAAACTAAGCACTTCCTCCTCGTGCTTAGAGCTAAACCTAGGGCCTATGTCAGTTAATACACTACTAGTAGCGGTGTCATCATCACCTGAATCGTCATTACTTACGGCCTGTCTCTTATACACATCTAGATGTGTATAAGAGACAGCTCCAATGCTCTGTCAGACCATTTATAAAAGCAACTAAGAAATTTACCAGTAATGTAACCCGACAATCCTTCCCAATCACAACACTCATTCATGACAAAATGGATTGGTTAATTTATTTAATCACATGCCAAAAAAGCTTTAAGCAATCTTAATTATGTTGAATATTTTAAGTTTAATGTTGTAAAGCAATAATGATGTTTTTAAGGCACTGTCCAGTCTGGCAACTAACAAAGCAACTGGAGTAGACGGTTTAAGTCTGAGACTTATCATGGCTGCTGCACCTTGTATTTCTCAAATTGTTACTTTTATTTTCAATCTCTCTCTTTACCTGGGAAGGGTCCCTGCTGAATGGAAGCTGGGTAAAGTTATTCTAATTCACAAAGGGGGGAGGGGGGGCACGCTAGAGATAACTGTAAGAATTATAGACCCATTTCCATTCTACCTACCTTAATGAAAATCTTTGAATGAATTATTCATGATCATCTATATTCTTACCTTCTTAGAAATAATTCCCTTTCCCCTCATCAATCTGGTTTCTGTCCACTACACAGCACTACTACTACACTTCTTCAGGTCGGTGATTATATTTTAAATAATACTGATAATGGGATGATGACCAGTGCCATTTTTTTAGATCTTAAAAAAGCATTTCACACCGTCCATCATCCCACACTTCTTAAAAAGCTGAAACAACAGGGACTTGATAACGTGGAACTTCAATGGTTCACCTCTTATCTGACTAACCGAAAGCAAATCACATCTATTAATGGAGAAAATTCTTCCCCAGCTTCCATTCGGTGTGGGGTCCCTCAGGGATCAATTTTAGGACCTCTTCTATTTATTATTTTTATTAATGACCTGCCCAATATTATCTCTAAGTGTTCTGTCTTCATGTATGCTGATGACACTGCTATTTTTTATCCATCTGAATCCATTTATGACATCCAAATTACTCTTCAAAATGAACTTAAAAATGTTTTTGAATGGCTGAATGAGAACAAACTCTCGTTAAAAATTGACAAAACCAAATCGCTTCTGTTTGGGTCTAAGAAAAAATTACAATACAGCAGATCTTGATATTAGGATTAGGGACACTGCCATTCAAGCCGTTGACCGATTTAAATATCTTGGCATCTGGTTTGATCCATTACTTTCTTGGAATGTGCATGTTGACAAACTTTGTTATAAGGTGAGCGGTAGAATTTCTCTTCTGGGTAGATTACGTCGTTATATTGATAAAAACTCTCTTAATTTACTTTATAAATCTCTCATATTACCTTTATTTGATTATTGTGATTCTGTTTGGGGAAATTGTGGAAAGGGTTTATTAGACAAATTACAGAAATTACAGAATAGAGCAGCATGTGTTATACTTACGGCTGATCACCGAACCAATTTAGCTCAATTACATACTTCTCTTGGTTGGTCATTTCTTAACGAAAGGAGAAATAACCATTTAGTCACCCTTGTTAACAAATGCTTGAGTGGCAGAGTCCCTTCTCTCCAAAACACTTTCACCTCAGTTGACAGTGTACATAACTATTCTACCAGATCCAATTCTGCAGGAAATTTTAATTTTAAAGTCAGAACTGAATCTGGTAGAAGAAGTTTTACTTTTAGGGGTTCTCGAATTTGGAATGCGGGGGGTAGGTAATTTTTTACTTAATTCGTGTTTCTTTTTTTTTATATTCTGTGTTGTTTTTCTTGAGATTTTAATGTTTTATGTGTACTGGGCCCTCTGGGAGAACAGTAACTTTTTACTGAAGAGGTAACCCAGTATAAAGAATAAAT